AGTGAGGCTGGTAGGTTTGAGCCTGGCCTGGGCCAGCTAAATAACAATGACAACTGCAACAAAAATATAGCCAGGCGTTGTGGCAGGTGCCTATAGTCCCAGCTACTTGGGAGACGGTAGCAAGAGAATCACTTAAGCCCAAGAGTTTGAGGTTTCTGTGAGCTGTGATGCCATGGCACTCTACTGAGGGTGACATAGTGGGACTCTGTCTCAAAAAAAAAAAACCAACAAACTTCATTATACTGTGTTGTACACATTATTTTTTCCATTATACTGTGTTCTTTCCATCATACTACTTGTCCTACTATAAGCATACCAGCCTTGTACCTAGTAGTGCTTCAAGTAAATGAATGAATAAAGGAATTAAATTAAATCTATCTACAACACAGGAAATTGAGTTTAATTTCAGAGCTGCATTCAAAGAGTGCCTTTGGGCCAGCTGGGCATGGTGGCTCACATCTTTAATCCTAGAACTCTGGGGGGCCACGGCAGGTTGATCGCTTGAGCTCGGAAGTTCCAGACCTGCCTGAGCAAGAGGGAGACCTGGTTTCTACCAAAAATAGAAAAAACTAGCTGGGCATTGTGGCAGGTGTTGGTCGTCCCAGCTACTCAGGAGGCTGAGGCAAGAGGATTGCTTGAGCCCAAGAGTTTGAGATTGCTATAACACCACGGAAGTTTACCCAGGGTGACAGAGTGAGACACTGTCTCATACAAGCAAACAAAACACACACACACACACACACACACACACAAAACTCCCAAAGAGTGATGCTGACAATTTGAAGTGCACACTGAGAACGTGAGCAGGGTAGTAGATGATCTTGGGATATTTGGTTTGGAAAAGACACAGCACGGTGGGAGAGATGACAGTGATCTTCTTCACTATGTGAACTATTTCCTCAGAGAGAAAGGAATTTAGTCTTCTTCTGTATTTATTCTTAAGACTGGAACTGTAGGCAGCTTTTCCTCTTTTCCAGGAGGTATTCCCACTGAACCCGAGCGATCAGATGGTGCATTGTTTCAAAGCAGAGCCTGTATATTACATTACTTCTCTTAACCCAGGCCCCGCTCAGGCCAGTCGCTCAGGACATACCATTATGTTGCCATTGGTCAGGTGTGCAGAGAGAACAATTGCTTTGTGTGCAAACTATCTGTACTCAGTGACTCCCAGAACCTTTCCCAAATTTAAGATGTCAAGATTTTATATGGTCCACAGTGAATAATTCTGCACCCCCCACCCCCAGCTTTGGACTTTTAGCTGGTCCCTTGGCCTCCATCCATGGTTCTGAAAGTATGATCCCCAGACCAGCAGGGGCGGCATCTGCGTGTGTCACCTGGGAATATGTTAGGAATGCAAACTTTCGGGCTCCACCTGAGACCTAGTGATCAGAAACTCTGGGGATGAGCACGGGGCGGGGGGGGGGGGGGGGTAGTGGGCAATCTGTGTTGTAACAAGGCCTCTAGATGATTTTAAGACCTGCTAAGCTGCTATCATTTGGGAACTACTGGATTAGATGTTTCTGCTCATCCCTGGGAAATGTACCCGGGCACTTAATAAGCCTGAATGTTTCCTGAGGACTTAGCCCTGCCTTGTGGTTCCTCAGCGTGTGGTATATTGCCTGGCACAAAGTAAAAGCCTGGTATTCACATATTGAAACGGAACTGAACTTGTAAAATGACAGTGCACACAGAATTTGATGGAACAGACTTTAAGAATTGGTTATCTTCAGCCAAGAGTCCAAAATTCTCAGGAAAAATGCCAGTTGCCGAAGTCATTATATGATGTGATGAGCCATACATGTGTGCATGGATGGATATGCAGATTTAACGTGTGCATGCATCAACATAGTGTATGTACAACTGTCTTAAAAATCCATTAGCTTCTAGCCACATCACTTACAAAGAGAGTTATTACCAAAACTGAAGAAAAGAAAGGTGACTGACAACTTGTGAAATAGGCAGCAACATGCTGTAGAATTTTGCAAACAGGATGTGCTTAGCATATTTTCTGATTCCTACTGGCTTTTGTTACTCTCCTATTTCTTTATCTACCTTAACAGTAAAAAAAAAAAAAATGCATATGGTCATTCTAGATTTTAAAAACATCTCAGAAAGAGAGAGGGGGAGAGCGAGCGTGTAAGCACACACATGTGCTTACCGTGTGCAGCAGGGTCACAGGTCATTAGTGGCCTTTCACTTGTTGGGAAAAAAAACATTTTTTTTTGGTTACCCATCCCTCCACTTTCAAAATGAAACAGTGTTTTCTCAGCATCTTTTTAAACAAGCTATTAAAATCTATTAAGAAATAACTAGGTGGAAAGTTTGGTTATTTTCACATAATTATCATTAGTTAAGTATTGACCCAAATAAGGTGGAGGGCATTGGTTACTCTCTCAGCTCATTATATTCTAAAATTGTATTGCTTTAGATGCGTCAGGGTCATTGCTATATACAAAATTGGAAAGACAAGGATTTTTCAAAATCTAATTCCTGTGCGGTGTTAATGATCTCCTGAATATTGTATTTAGTGCTTTACATACCATCTCAGTGCAAAAGTGTGATTCGATAATGAACTGTTTGAATTGATAAATTGTGGAAGCGTCTTTGTACTTCTAAGAAGATTCATGCCAACACAACTTATATAAATAACGGCATTTTAAAGGCAGTCTGGAATCTGGAGCTCACTATGTAATGCTAACCCCTTTCCCAAATCTTTTAGCAGAGCAAAGAGCCAGAGTTCTTAATGTTGCTGACTTCAAATCTCTATATTGTGGTTGTTTAATGTGAAGGAAGAATAATATAATATTCTGTATACTATATGGAATATTCACTGTTAGCTTAGGTATATTCAACCATATGTACCTATCAAGTGTGTGTATATACACACATACACATATGAGTACGTATGTCTAACCCTATCTCTCTATAGCCATCTCTCTCTCAGTTGACTATACATAGGTGATTTCACCCACTACTCCGAAAGGATATGTCCTAGATTGATGTGTGAGATGGGTAATACAGATCCATTCATCCCTTGGTTGATCTCTGTTCCCTCATGCACCCCCTGGAGTGTCTATTGTGTTGCATACAACTCCAGGGTTGAGAGATGTTACTTTTTGCTAGTTTACAAATGCAACTGCCCCCAAACTCAGCAATAAAAATACAGCAATGGCAACACCCCAAAACAAACACAGACAGAAGCAACAGAAGCAGAATGAGGCCTGGGCTTATTGAGTTTACTTCCCTGGCACACGTGGTTGATCATGAAGTCATCTTGGTCCTTTAGATCCCCATTATTTGAGAAGGTCAGTCTAATGCCCAAGGTGCAGGGAGGGTGCATTTACACTCTGTCCTGGATTTCCAGGAATGGCTCACCTGGGTCCACCCTCAGAAAGGAACAGGGCCAGGGAAGGAGTGGTCTTAAAGGGCCTGCAGGCAGGGGTGAGAGCTTAGTGGAGGTGCTACAGTTCCTTCCTGTTTCTCTCCAGACACTGGTGAAGTAGTGGCTGAATGGTCACATGGGCAGGTGTCTGCACTGCCTCATTCTAGTTCCCGAGGGAGGCCAAAGCGTCTTTACATCCTAACACTCCTTCTTCCCTACCTTTCTTTCTTCCCAGGGTGATGGCTTTTCTGAATTTAAAGAGCATTTCAAAGACCTACGGACATAGGCTCTGGAAATATGTCTGAGCACTGGGCAATGCATCCACATGGCACAATTTTCTGGGAACCACATGGCTATATGTCCATTAATAAATTTCTCTCATTCTGAGGCCTTGAAAAAGCCTCAGAATGAGAGAAACCTTCACATTTCCAGTTCCTTTCTCTGTTTGCTAGAAAATTGTTTTACATTATATCATCATAAAATGCTCTATTCTGCAGTGACAGATGTGTATAAAATCTGTGCATGGCGTTAAACTTTATTAATACTGGCTGGATACCCATGGGTGTGATCACTCAATGGCATATGTGTATATACCTACTTATCGAGACTGCATTCTTTAAAGAAATAAAGGGGCAGGGACAAAAAAATTCCATTTATGTAATTTCTACACAGTCACCAGAGAATGCCTGAAGTGGATAAGCAGACAAAATGTCATTTCATGAAAACTAGAGGTGACTGCCTTGAATCTTTGAAGTCTGAGTCATAGGGACTAAAGCCATCAATATGTTATATCTTTCTACACTATTTATTATTTGCTTCTCCCATCTTTATATTGCAAATGCTTAAAATTTAAAGTTATACCAATGTTTTGTAATACCCTGGGTGTTTCTTCAGAACACTGGTTCCCAAATGTCGAGTGTGGAAGAAGACAGCCTGGAATGAAGTATTTATTAGTTGAGATAAAGAACAATAAGAAAATGTAAGGGTATTTGGATAAAGCTACAATTATTAGATATAAAGGATTTTTTTCTCTTTATTTAAAGATTTTTCTTATAGCTCTACCAGCCATTACTCTGTGGTTAGTAAGATCTAAACGTATATAGCCACTGGGCAGGAAAATCAGCTTTATTTCTTTGCTTTCATCTTACTCTATAAAACAAACAAAAACTCCCCAACAATTCTAGGGTGAAAAACTCATCATTCTAAGTAATTTACAAGTTTCTGACTGTCCTTTATTTAGGTGTAGAACACCCATGTAAGTCAGATGGTTGTGTAGCTTGGGTCTACACAAAACAAACCTGTTGGAGTGCCCAGAGCTGGGCCAAGTCTCTCTTGGTCTGTGTCTGGGTCAGAACTGTCTGCTCTCTGGTCTGAGTCAGCAACCCCCAGTCCTGTCCTGGACTCAACCATCTTTGCTGTCCAAGAGGACAATTGCTCCGCTGGCTAGAGAACTCTAGAATCTACAAGTTTGGAATTTTAACCTGTAGACACTTCAGGCAATGTTCTGTTCCCCTCACAAATTCCATAATTTCTTGGGTGATAAAACACAAACAAATTCAGTATTGTTAAAACATGCCTTGGTGTACAGCACCGGCAGAGGCATGAGATGGTGACATACCTTTCTGAGGTCACCCGTATCCTCTCATCATTGGATGAGTTGAATCGATCATCCTTTTCTCTAAAATATTCTTCTATGCACTGCTCTTCAAAATCGTGTACTTTCTTAAGTTCATCATCAGTTATGAAGAGTTCTGTGGAAAAAAAATAAAGAGAGAGGGAGCTATAAAGGAGAGAATTAAAAGTGATGGCATCTAATTTGTGGGCCTAACAATATCTCTAATACAAATTGAATCCACGTTGGGATAAGCGGCCTAGGTTCCTTACTGAGTTTCCGACGAATCTGAATCCAATTGGGCACCTTGTATTATTGTCTTCTTTCTGAACAGGAGAGTCACCATAGGCCTCTGGAGTTTACTTGAATATACAGCATATCTAGTTTACTGTGGGAGCTGATTAGAATTAGGCAAGTGATAAGACTAAGAACATAGCTAAATCAAGGACAGGGAAGCTACCCAGTGTAAGGAAGTTTCTCAAAAGCTTAAAAATTTCTGGGCGGGGGGTGTGGCAGACATTGTTGATTGGCCTTACCAAAAGCCCTTTCACAGCCTCATTCTCCTTTTTGCCCTACCTACTACTGAGCCTGGAAAGCCAAACACACCCACTTCTAATCTCTCTTAGGGCTAGGAGCAACCCAGTCTGGGGCCAGGAAACAAAAGATGTCTGCTACAGGGAGGGGTGTGTATTGGGAAGAGAGTTTTCTTTCCTGATAAAATACAGAGATGTGGTTGCTGCTGTCTACATTTTTTCACCTTTGTCTTTTTCCTGCCTTGCATATAAATGTGATGACTGGAGGTGAAGCAGCCATTTTGTGATCATGAAACAAGAGAATGCGATAAGGAATAGCTGAGCTTAAAAACAGGACTCTGGGTCTTTGACTTCAGTGAGCCATTGTGGAGCTCTGGACTACCATTTCTTCATTTTTTTGTTATGTGAAAAAAATAAAACCTATTTATTTGTGTTATTATTAGCCTCACTTTCCTTAATTGAAGATAAACCAATTATAACTGTTACAGCAGTAGAAAGAGCCTAACTGAGGCCGGATGCCATGGCTCATGACTGTTATCCTAGTATTCTGGGAGACTGAGGTGGGAAGATTGCTTGAGGCCATGAGTTCAAGACCAGCCTAAGCAAGAGTGAGACCGAAGCTCTACTAAAAATAGAAAAATTAGCTTGGCATTGTGGTGGACATCTGAGTCCCCGCTGCTCAGGAGACTGAGGCAGGAGGCTTACCTGAACCTAGGAATTTGAAGTTGCTGTGAGCTATGCTGATGCCACTGCACTCTAGCCTGGGCAACAGAGTGAGACTGTCTTTAAAAGAAAAGAAAAGTCAGAGCCTAGTTGAAAGTTATATCTTTAAATGGTTTATAAATCAGGGTTAGGGTGAGAGAGCTGCTTCACAAAAACCCAAAATGGGACAAGTCCCTCTTCGAATTCTCTAACCCAGAGATGTCACAGGGGTTGTCCCAAATATTTGGAGCTGTGGATTTTAGACCTCGAGGGATTTTGTTTCCTCAGATTGCTCCTGTTTGCTTGGAGGCCTTGGTCCAAATTTGCCCGGGGATGGAGAATGTGAATGTGAAAGCAGGTGAGAGAAAAGAAAATATTCGAAATCACAACACTCTTCTCAAATATGGCAGGGTTTCTGGGGTGGGGAACCGCTGCATCATAGGGGGCTCTTGAGAGTCAGTCATGAGATTATGCAGAGCATTAACTGGGAGGGAAGGGAGTAAAGAGAGGCAGTATGGAGAGGCCCCCCAAACAGAGACTCCTTCCCACTATTGCTGTATTTGAGACCAAAAAGAGTGTATTTAATATGCTGCTGGCACCTTAATTAGTGCTTCGTTTAACTTCTTTGGCTATATGCAATGCTTTTCTTTTTAATGCTATTTAAAAAAACTCCATCAACATGTCAAATTTTACAATAAAAATTAAATTTTGCATTTCAAAGTGCTTTTATCTGAGGTTCTGGCAGAACCTGGCAGAGCCCTGGCAGAGGGCTGGGTTCTTCTTCTAATTAAGGCTACAGATAGACAGTGAAAAGTTCACTTTCCCCCAGTTGATTAATACAAGGCAGGGCCCTTGTCTCTGCCTCTCACTCTTTCTGACCCAGCCCCAGCTCTGAAATATTTCTTCTCTGAGAAAGCTGACACTTTGTTCCTCCCTTCCACACAGCCAGTGACCTGGCAAGGCTTTTATTGCTACTTTTATTGATAACAACAAGAAAACCACAAAATAGAGTTGGAAGGAGCTGGCTCCCACCTGGCCCAGAGTCTGCTTTGCTGGGGTTCTGGTGCCTTCCATGAGGGTGTGGGAACTGGTGCAGACATGGGTCCCTGGACCACACCACTTCCTGCGGTATATGTCTAGATACCTGTTTCCTAAGCTTTCTGGATAAGTGAGGTTCTCTCTCTACTGGAAATGCGTCATGCTTTATTGTAAATTACTTTGGAGCCTGGAGTTAACCCCCAGCAGTAATCCACTACAGGCGTCATTCATTACAATGTCCCCGTGCCCCTGAGAAGGTGGCTCATGCTCCTGCACAGTGGCTGAGGTTCCCAAGTTCAGAAGCTCAGGGTTAATCTTACAGGTCATCCTTTTTCCCACCTGGGCTTTCTATTTGCCTGAATTTGGGTTTCAGATGGAAACAGTGAATCTTGGAATTCCCAGCTCTCACCAGCTCTCCAATTTTAATGTGTATGAAGGAGTTGGGCAGGGCTGTGTCAGGGAGGTTAAAGGCTTTAAACTCAGAGAAGCAGTTGACTAAATGGTTTTGGTTTCAAATCTTAGAGATACTAGTGATCACATGGAAGGAGGTAGATTCCTGAGCCACCCCCCAGAGGCCCACCTATTTAATATAGGTGGTCTGGTAGGCACACTTGGAGCAACCATAGTAGTTTGCTGGGATTGGGGCTGGATCATTGGTTCCCATTAGTGGAACACCAGGGGCACTTAGTAATCTGCAGGAGCTACTGGTATTTAATTTGTGGAATCTGGGTGTGTTAAATCTCCGGCCATGTTTGGGAGAATCCTACACAGTGCAGGATTGTTCTGCCCCAATGCCAGTAGGACCTCCTTTAATAAACACTGGGCTGGAAGGTGGCTGGTGGAAGGTCTACTGTCTTTTCCTTTGAATAATGGAAAGCAGCACTAGTTTCCTCATGAGGTCATATAGGCACAAATCCTAAAGCTTAGGAGAATGTTTATAAGATCTGAAAAAATGGTAAGTCCAGAATCATAAGGGCCAATCAACTTGGTCATCCACAACCATACAACGATGCTTGAGTTACATATAATGTAGTATTGGGTACACATGTATATGGTTGATATATTTTGGGGTAGGACCTCTGGAAAGTAAGAAACTTAGAGACTATGATGGCACTCAAATAGCCCTGCCAAAGACTGGCTTCATCTTCCTAAGAAAGACGAGGCTAAGAAGGCTGGGTTTCAGCCTTTGTTGACGTCCCAACACTTTCTCATGCAAGCAGACCCTGCCATCTCCTCCCACATCGTCAGAGCCGTGTGCAGGAGGCAGGAGGAACTGGGTGGGCACTGACTACCTGCCTGCCTGCAGGAAGAGGTAAGGAAGGGGTAAGGATTTCCCATTATGTTGGGGCTGGGCTGTCGCTTGAAGCTTACTCAGGCCATAGTCCCTTTCATCAGGATCACTCTCGTGTTTCCTCCATCGGCAACACAGGTGCTGGAAGATCATGGTCATGTGGCTGAAGATGATGAGCGGTGGGGGCAGAACGGGCCTTTCATGGAAAGTCATGATGAGCTGATACCTCTGAAACTTCCATACTTGGTTGGATATCGATTTTACCTCGAAAAATGTATTGCTGAAATAGAGACCAGAGAGAATCAAATGAGAAAATTCACTATTTCCTGAACATCTACCTCCCTCCATCTTCACCCCCCAGGTCCACTCACTTGAAGACGGCAATGAGGAGGTTGACCAGCAGGATGTTTGCCACCAGGAGGTAGCAGGCCATGATGGCCGGCACAATCCACGCGCCCGTCTTGCAAGGGGGCAGCTGGATTATTTTACCATCCTCTCGGGTCTCATTCTGTCCACAGGGAGCTGGGGGAGGCAACACAGGCACAAAATGAGAAACCGTGGCTATTCAATTTGGGAAATAAAGAAAAGAAGACTGATTTGAATGAGGGTTTTAGATGGAAGAAAACTACAGCCGTCTCAAAACAAACAGGAAAAGGTTCAAGCAAGCCAAAATTGAAAAATGAAGCTTCATGAGATACTTCAAAGGGCCAGAGGGGTCTGGCTTCTGCCTGATGGGAATAGGCGATGAGGCTGCCTGCTGGCCCACCTTATCCCTTGGCCCCTGCCCTGGGTGAGGGGCACTCGGTGTCCTTCGGAAGCCTGGTGAGGGCTTTCCTGGGATCGCCCAAGGATCCGAGAGTTACTTTCAAAATGTGCTGTGGAGGCGACAGCTGTAGGAGCAGCGTGGCAGGGCTATTGATTGGGAATTAACACCAGGGCAGCCGTTAATTGCTGCAAGAAACAACCTGGGAGCTCCGAGCATAACGATTTGCTGTCTGGGTGCAGAAGGAACAACACCGGGCAGCGTCTGGGGAAGCATAGAGGCTTGTCGCTCTGAGCGCCTGATGGATGGGATTTCACCAGGAGGGCAATGAGGGGCAATGGAGCGGGACCACGGAGCCCACAGCCACTCGCTCCCCTCCAGCAGGGTTTCCATCCCCAAAATGTGCTACTTGGGGCACAAGAACCAACTGCAGGGAATAAAATGGGCAATCAGGATGGGGGAGAAATGTCTGGGGTTGGGGGTGGGGTGGGGTGAGGAGGAAGGTGATGAGTGGGACTGGGTAAGTGTGAGTCATGTGCTAATGAGGGCTGCTTGGGGTTTCCCGATAAATGTCAGGGAAGTAAAAATCCTTGACAAAGCTTCTTAGTACTGCACAATGCGGCTCAGGGAGCGAGACGATGTCCTCAGGTGCCAAGCGAACTTGAAGTATCCACTTTCTCCAACACCCGCCCCCACTGGCTTCAGAACACGGGGCCTTTGTGTCTACCTGTTTCGGGGGTGGGGGTTGTGGGGAGGAGCACCAAGGGGTGTCAGCAGTTGCCATGGGCTGCTTTTGATGATCTGCCAGAAGGTTTGAAAAGTTGACCCAGAATCGACTCAGCTGGAGTACCTGGCAAGGGGAGCCCATTCCCATCTCAAGACTTTCCGTTGCTAGGCTGCAAACTCCACAGTGGTGCTCAGCCCCCAGCCACCCAGGGGATCCCCTGGGGAGATTTAAAAATGCCAGTGCCCAGCTCGGCTCCAGGCAAATGAATCAGAATCTTTGAGGGTGCCCCAGGCACCGGTATTTCTTTTCAAACTTCTCAGGTAATTCTCAGTTGCCAAGAAGGTGGAGCACACTGGGCTAGAATTAGGCTGGAAAAATTATGTAATTTTTGACATGCTCTGAAGCCCAAAATGCATCTTCTCACCCAATGAGGATTTTAATAACTCCAAGACACCAAGACCCTGTTTTAATGGCCAGGAAAAGATGGCAAAGTGCTTTCTTTGGTTCTGACTGCAAGACGACTGGATGTTGGAATCAGGTGTTTTTGAGGAGCAGGAATTTTTTGTTATTGGGAGCTATGGCACTGAACACTCAAGACAGCGTTCACTGTAAGAGGCCCTGATCATTTCCTCCCTTGGAAGGAAAACCCAGTGATGGAGGCCCCCACTGGCTTCAGGATGAAGTCCAGACTCTGAGGGTGGCTGGCCCAGGGCCATGCCTTGCTGCATCCCACCTTTTTCTCTAAGCCAAACCACAAGTTTCTTGTGGTTCCTGGAAATGCCATGTTCTCTCTTACTTCCCGATTTTGAACCACACTTCCTCTTTTGCTTTCAAAAGCCCCCTCTGAGACCTTGCTCCCACTTGCATCCATCACCTCGGTGAATCCTGCTCATTCTTTAATGCTCACCTGGCTTTCTGAGCGTGTGTGGGGTCTCTGACACTGTATTGCCATTGCTAATCTTCTCATCTGCACCCCACACAAGCCTCTGTCGTGGGAGAATTGCTCCTCAAGATTTCCCATCACCTGCCTTAGTGCATACACATAGCACATGGCGATGTGTCCATACATGATTAATGTGGAACAAATACAGGAGATTAGGGAGACACGATCTTGCTGTATGCTAATAGACATTTCTCACATCTACAAAAGGCTACTCATGATGCATAATCCTAGCTCTGAGGGGTCATTAGTTCCTTCCTTAGGTCCTTTCCACAAATTCTTCATTCAACCAGACTTCAGAATCTCTTGGAAGCATCGCTATGCTTTCCTCTCCTCTGCAAAGCTTCTCCCACTTACTCCACGCTTTTCTTCCTTGACTGACTGTCTTGGGGGCTGTCCCATCCTCTGTTCTGACCTTTCCTGTGGCTCCTGCTCAGATCTCTATAGGGAAATCGACAAAATCAGCAGAAGTAACTGCTTGGGGTCAGTTATAAAGCTATGCTTGTAACAAATGTGGTTCCTGATCTCCATTGCTCACCCCCATTCTGAGAGAACGTAAACTTGGGCGAGGCAGAACTCATCCATCTTGCTCTTTGTGATCCCGTATTGAGTGAGGGCCATGCAGACACTTCTCCACTTTGGTGCCTATTCCCAGCAGTCAGAGGAAACAGGGGAGGAGAAGAGGTGCTTGCTGGTTTCAAGGGGCCCATGCTCACATGCACGACCTTTCAGAGTGTGTCATCAACATACCGCTAGGTCTCTGCTCAGTTCCTCCAAGGCTCCCACTAGCTGAGGAGTCAGACCAGCCTAATACCTTTATTGAAGATTTGATTTTATGTCAGCAGAATTGCCACCGGGAACCACATGCCATTTTGGGGGGGTGGGTATTGACTTACCCCTGCCTTCCTCACCTTTTACTCATCCTGCCTTTACAGAGGTAGTTTTAATTCAGTGGTTAGGAACATGTCTTACAATCAGGCAGACCTGGGTGCAAACCCTGATTCTACCGGTTTCAGATGATCTGACTTTAGCTTTGTTTGTGAACTTCAGCTTCCTCATCTGTAAAGCGGGGTTATTAATAGTATATGCCATGGGGGCTGTCAAGATCACTACACAAGATAAAGCTTGCAAAACGTGTGGTTTAGTATCTAGCACAAAGCACTCAATTAGCATTAGCTGATGTCACTGTTGGTATTGTTATTTTCATAATTAATAGACTTTTAGCTTCTCAGGGTTAGACTATGTCTTATTCCTCTTTGTTTTGTGGTCACTAAGCATTGCACTTATCCTACAAACATCCTACAACACGCTAAGTACAGGTCATATTGCAAGTTGACGAGACACTTCTCATTGTTAAGGAACTCACAGTTCAGGAGGGGATACCGACAGGGAACAAAACATCATATTATGGCGCGATGTGAGTTGGGATGGGCTTCTGAGGAAGCACTCTGGTTTGAACTGCTGTAGTCTCTCCAGCCTGGCCACCCAGCAGTCTGGTAGTCAGGACTAGCCTGAAGAACATTATCTAGGTTCTGGAGCAATAAGTACACTATAAGTGAATCAGATGGTTCTTGAGACGGTGACAATGATAATAAAAGTGAATCCCCAAGAAACAAGCTTTATTCAGTAATATCAGCAAAGAAGCAGTGAACATTAGATGCAGCAATTAGTGCAGACTTTGCTCTATATTGGCTCCCAATGACATCCTTGCTCTGGGTAGTTATCTGTACTAGAAAGTGCTGTGATTCAAACTTACAGATGTCTACCACTGATGAAGATGGTGCCTTGAGCCCTTACAAGCAGTGGATTTCAGGATGGGGAGAAAGTTATCTGGATTGTTGTAGGATACCAGCATTGGGCAGGCTCACGTTCCCAGGGAAATAACCCAGAGAAATTCCTCAGAGTTTGGCACCCAAGATGGCACATGGGTGGATGTTTAGGGGCATGTGGGCTTGTGGTGTCCACTGTGCCTCCTCCTTCACTGCTTTTGGGGTCTGATATTTGGGTTGTTTTCCTCCCAGCCTGTTGCAAGAAGCAAATGTAGAGTCACTACCACTTCATACCAAATGCCATGTGTCATCTCCCTCTTTATTGGTGACAGTCAGTGCAAAGTCCCTTTAGTGGATGTTGGCTGGTTCCACTTGCCTAGTATACATTTCCCCATCCTGGTTTTCCTTTGTAAAACCACCTCACTTCCAGTCTCAGTTCATGAAGTTTGAGTGAAATGAACTCCAATTCCATATCTAGGAGAAGACTGATCAGTGTGTCTTATCTCCTGATTGCCACGATTGGCTTAGGAATGGACATGTGATCTAAGCCTGACCAATCAGGGTCATTGAGCACCAGCCTAGGACTCTTGCTGGAACCAATATAAAGGAGAAGCTTTCAAATTAGCTGGGTGTTGTGGCAGGCACCTGTAGTCCCAGCTAAGGTAGAAGGATCATTTGAGCTCAGAAGTTTGAGGTTGCTGGAGCTATGATGATGCCCCTGCACTATAGCATGGGCAGCAGAGCAAGACCCTGCTGAGAGAGTGAGAGAGAAGAGCTTTTTTTACAATGCAAGGTAAAGCTACCAAGTGAAGAGTGCTTGCCCAAGACTGACTCCATCACAGAGAAGAAAAGCTGCTTCCTGAATGAGCCATGCCTAAAATCAGTCCTTTCCAGTTATACAAACCATAAAATTCCTTTTTACCTTAAGTTAATTTGATTTGGGTTTCTGTTCCTTGCAATTAGTCCTGATTAATACAGTCATAAGCATACCCCTGACACCCGCCCCCCAGCCCTTGCCCACAGGCCAGTAATAAAAGATGTTCATGTTTTGGGCACCCCACTCCTGAGGGGCTGAATTTGGAGTCTTGGAATAGCATAGATGATTGGAAAGAGGAACCTGGAATGTACCATGCGACCTGATAGAGTTTCATCAGCCAGAGGCCACTGTTGCTCCCCTTCTTCCCAAAACATAAAAGGAGAGGTTTACACTGCTCAGTTTTGTCTAACTGGGGTCTCGTATTAATACAGATCTGACCTATTATCTAATCAGTAGGGTAAATGCTGTTTGGAACTTTGGTCAAATATCTAGACAAAACCAGCCAC